ACTTAGCTCATCTCACCTTGATAACTCAACCGCCATACACAGATGTCTTCCTTTCTCTGAGTCTGGACCCTTGATCTTCCCCCAGGATCCATCCCCCTGGTCCCTGACCTTCCAAACCTGCCCATCCTTCAAAGTGTAACTAGAATTCCACTCTTCCCAAGCTTGGTACCCACACCCCCACCCCCCGTGTCTCAGTATTCTCCGGAGAGTCCTGATATTATGTAAGTGGATTCTCTTTGACAAAGAGAATCTATTACATGTTTTAAAAGATTTAATAGCCCATATGCATTGGTCATACTTTTCAGATAATTACATTTGCAAATGAGAAAGAAATTCCCCTGCCAGATCATGTATCCTGATTTATGATTTGGAAAATGTGGTCACTTTATCCCTGAGGACTTCCCTGATCACTACTGTTCCATGCCTTGTATCCCTAACTTGATGGTTAGCTCCCTTAGGGTAGAGAATATGCCTGAATAAATATGTAAAAATTCCAAATCTTTTTAAGTTGTAGTGGGAGAAAATCTAGAAGTTTGGAGAAAATGGAAGTATATACAAAATATATTTTTGCACTTTTCACAAATACGAAAATCACTCTTTTTAGTGTGTCAGAAAAATGTACTGGTCCAGGCCCCAGATGAACATAAATCAATGCAATTGAATATAGCAGAAATAGTAAGATGGGTGGAAAATTGGCCTTTTAGTTTGATTTGTCATGTACCAGCTGAATGAACTTGAACAATTTTTCTGGAGATCTACTTGCCTCCTGTTCGATATGGATTTTTGGATTTTGGAATAATATATATACCTATCTATTTTATAAGATGATTGTGGTGAAAAATCAAATGTGAAATGGAGTTAAGTGGGGTTTTTTTTAAGTTTTTTGTTGTTGTTGTTTAGGAAAGAACCCTCAACATTTCTAAAGAAAATTACTTCTAAATAGTTTAAATTTTGTTACTAACAAGATTCAAGGTGCTGAGTGACTATTTAAAAAGTCAAGACAGTTCTGAATTTTTGCCAATTTGTGAAGAGGAAGGAAAGACTTTGGGATCAGGAAGAACAGTGTCATCTACTGTGACCCTAGGTGAATAACCTAGCATGACCTATAGGGTGAGTCAGGTAGCAGCTAGAATTTTGACCCTCCCACTTAACACATATCATCTCAACCACTCTGACCATCTGTCTCCTCATCAGTAAAATATGAATAATAGTAATAACATTTACTGAATGCTTTCTGTGGGCTGTGTACTATTTCAAGCATATTGCATATATTAAGTCATTTAATCCTGACAACAACCCCATGAGAGGACTATTAATATCTCCATTTTATGGATGAGGAAACTGAAGCACAGAGAAATTAAGCCTTTTGTCTAAGGCTGCCCAGCTAGTAAGTGGTGGAGCCCAGGATGAATCCCAAGCAGTGTGACTTCAGGTCTGCTCTTGTCAGTGCTAGACTGGACAGATCCCTCCCTTTAGGGTTCTTGGGAGGATTAAATGAAATAATGCACATAAAGAACTCAGCTTGTGGTCTGAGGCACAGCTATTAAAATTATCCCATTATCTTAAGGTATAAGTGTGGTAATGGCTACAGGTCTACAGCCCAGTTCCTGGCATAAAGGAGTACTCTAGAAGCTGGTTCCCTTTCTCACTGACATTATGCAAAAGCAGAGAACATATTCTACAGTGTAAGCAGACATTAAAAAAATGCTCATTTATGCATGTTATTTTATCCTTCAGATTGAGAGGTGAATACAGAGAAATCCTCAGAATCTTTGAATACAACTTTGCTACAGGAAACTTGTGTCTCTACTCTCATTTACTTTTTTCTTTATACTTCTTTTTTTATTGCCTCTATGTTCTTCTAAAGAAAAATTAAGATTTCCCTGGATTGGGAAAAGCCTCAGACTAATGTCACAGAAAGTGGAATTGGCATGAAATGTTGCCAGAACTTGTGAGCTTCTGAAGGCTCTTTCACCTCAGTTACTGGGGTAGGATCCAACTCCTGCAAAGCCCAGGGTCTGGACGTATGTCCTCCTATGGCTGAAATCTTCCTGGGTCTCCACACTGGCTGGGGCTTCGGGTTCACTCCACTCATGCATCTGCCTACACACATGCTCCCCTAATCTGTTCCCACGTCATTCGTACAATTGCTTCTTCACAGCTATGCCTACCCACCCACCCCAGACATACCTGTTCCTCTGGACCCCCTCCACACAACATACAATGCACAGACCACATCTTTAGTTCCCCAAACCTACTTACTCTTTCTTTCATTCTGTTTCCACATAGGTGATGAGTCTTACATGCCAGGCACTGTGCTAGGTACCTGGGCATCATTTGGCCACAAAAACTCACATATGCATGTTTCCCCATGCACAGATGTTACATGAAGGTGTCTGCACACCCTTTATACATATAACCACATGTAACCCCCATATATCCAGAGAGTACATACACATACCCACAGAGACACTCTCCATTCAGCCCCACATGCCATCGCCTATGTTTAGAATGGTCTTCGACTTTTCTTCCTTCATTTTGTGTTTCTGTTTCCCTATCGCCATAATGGCAGATTTAACCTAGAGGTGGTAGGGTATGAGGCTTGTGAAATAGCCCAATTTTGATCACTCCAATCTGTTCTGGCATGTTATATTTATCTTCAAAACAGATCTCACCTACCATCCCTTTTTCAGGGAAAAGCTCCATATTTCTCCCAGTCGTGGGAAAATACTGACAGCAGTCATGGGGGGGAGAGGTGACGTGGGGCAGGGGTGAGTGGGCAGAAGTGGTCTTAGGCCAGCTTGCTTGGTTGCTCAGATGGTGGGCCGTGGACCACTAATCAAGAGGGGAGAGAAGGGAGAGGGAGGAAAGGAACTGCATTGCCCTACTCATCAGGCCCTAAGATCAGCCCCTTCAGACAGGAAAACCCAGAGCTCGTGGCCCTGCCGCTGAATCTGGCACCTTCTCCGGCATGGTGGTCCAACCTCCCACCAGCTCGCAGGGCCCAGTTCCTTTGCTTTTCAGAAACGTGCTCTCACGTGTGTGGGGGAAGGGAGGATCTCTGCTCTGAAAGGCACAGGTTTGGGAAAATAAGGACAGGTTCAGGTTTCTTTAAAGACAAGACAGGCAGGAGGCCCTGTAGAAGCCAAGGGGAGGCACCATCCTTACCTTCAGGGCAGACCTTTGGGCTCCCTCCACCACAGCCTTCAGGTACCAAGTGGGCAGCTGTGTGACTGAGGGCATGGACCAAATGTTGTGACAGCCTGAGCTGCCTCTGTGAGAAATTTGGGATAGATTTCAATAACTCCTATTATTGAGCTACTGCCACAGAGGCCAGGGAGAATGACAATTTAAGGAGAGTGTTTCTTCAAGTTCACTGCCATACAATAGCAGGACTTAGTTTCCTAGCCAACTGAAGGAACCAGTCATCTTTGACACTGGGAGGCTAGAAGGAGGAAGCTTGAAAAGAAGGCAGGGAGGGGGATGGGGAGGCAATTATAAATTTTCAATCTACCCCCAAGAAACTTGAAAATTACTGTATGGGCCCTGGTCAGTTTGGCTCAGCAGTTGGAGCGTTGGCCTGCGGACCAGAGAGTCCCAGATTCGGTTCCCGCTAGGGGCACGTACCACACAAAAAAAAATTAGTATATGGAGGTGAGAGCAGCCAAGAGGAATGAATAAGTGGAGTACAATGGATTTTCAGGACAGCGAAGCTATTCTGTATGACACTGTAATGGTGGATACATGTCATTATACATTTGTCCAAACCCATAGAATATATAGCACCAAGAGTGAACCCTGATGTAAACTATGGCCTTTGAGTGACTATGACAGGTCAAGGCAGATTCATCAGTTGTAACAAATGTACTACTCTGTGGGGGTGTTGATACTGGGGGAGGGGTATACAGAAAATCTCTGCCTTCCTCTCAGTTTTGCTGTGATCCTAAAACTCCTCTAAAAAAGTCTTAATAAAAATCAGTATACTCGCCCTGGCCGGTTTGGCTCAGCAGTTAGAGCGTCGGCCTGCGGTCTGGAGAGACCCAGGTTCGGTTCCCGCTAAGGGCATGTACTTCGGTTGCAGTTTGTCCCCAGCCCTGGTAGGTCGTGCGGGTGGCAGCCACTCGATGTGTCCCTTTCACATCGATGTTTCTCTCTCTCTCTCTCTTCCTCTCTCTCCCTCCCACTCTATCTGTACAAAAAAATGGAAAAATATCCTTGGGTGAGGATTAAAAAAAAAAAAAAAAATCAGTATACTCTACACCCTGGCTGGTTTGGCTCAGTGGCTGGAGCTTTGGCCCATGGACCAAAGAGTCCCAGGTTCAGTTCTGGCTAGGGGCACATACCTCAGTTTTGGTTTGGCCCCCGCCCAGTTGGGGTCATGTGGGAGGCAACCAATCGATGTGTCTCTCTCACATCGATGTCTCTCTCTCTCTCTCTCTCCCCTACCATCTCTTCTTCCTGCTCTATCTGAAGATAAATGGAAAAATATCCTCAGGTGAGGATTTAAAAAAAATCAGTATACTCTACTAGATATAAAGGAAGATAACTCAGCCGGTGTGGCTCAGTGGACTGAGCACTGTCCCATGGACTGAGGGGTCCTGGTTCCATTCCTGGTCAGGGCACATGCCTGGGTTGTAGGCTGGATCCCCAGTGGGGGACATGCAGGAGGCAGCTGATAGATGTATCTCTCTCACCTCAAAGTTTCTCTCTCCCTCTCTTTTTCTCTCTCAATCAATAAAAACATTTTTTTTTTTTTAAAAAAGGGAAGATAAAGACATTGAACTGATTGGATACAATCAAAGTACAAGGTGTTAAAGAGAGATTGGAACTTTATTGAGACTTTCTACCTGATGAACTCAGAATGGAAAGAACACTGGAAAGGTTCCACTTTGGGAGAAACAGCAACTGTTCAGGCACAAATACTTATAGATACTCCTCTTGAGGGATCTCTGGAGCCTAAATTTCCCCCAACTCTCATCCCACCCACCCACCCACCCCCAAAAAAAGTCAGAATTCTGTTTAAAATCCACCTCCACAGAATGGGGCACAAAACAGCTCTTCAAGTCCAAGCTCTCTGACAGGCAAGCCTGGGGACAGTTAGAGAAAAGGTAAATCAAGGAGTGAGCCCAGGATCAGGAGTAAGAAAAGGGAAATGGATGGAGAAAAGAAAAGGGGGGGAAATCACACCGACAATGTCACCCCCCTGAAAACATAAATATATGAATGTATTAGCTTCATTTCACCTTCTTCCCCCAAAGCAACGGTGACAGCAGCTATGACAATGCCCATACAGTTCTGCACATTTTATTTCCCCTACTGCACTGAGAAACACGGATATGCCGAGAGGAGCTCAAGTGCATTGAGGGGCATTAAGGAGCAAGGTGGGAGAGCAGACTCTTGAGAGGGCAAATAACAGAGAGGGTTGGTTCTTGGCGAGAAGAAAAGTAGCTCCTCGGGCCCTGTCACCAGGTTCCTTGGACACCCCTAGCAGACCCTTTTTCTTCTCTGTTGGTTCTGTACTTAGAAACAATGTCCTGGAGGCTGAGGAGCCTCTGGCTTTCTCGTGGGAGGTTCCGGGTCCTCCACAAAGCCAAAAGCAGCAGCCCCTGTTGCAGCTGTACCAGAGTGCTACTAATTCTGAGAAACAGGAATTCCGAAGTTGCAGTTCTCTGCATGGACCTAATCTGATCGCCAGTTTACTTCCACTGCCTAATCCTCAGTGCCTCTCCCTCTGGCTCCATCGTCACTTTCCTTCTGCACCAGGATGACCTCCTGGTGCTGGCAGGTCCTGACCCATGCCTCCTGGTAAAACTCCCAAGAAAGGCTGGCTCACTAGGCAGGAGCCCCTCGGGGCAGCCCTGGGCCAGGTCTCCAGGATTTGCACAGACTCTTCACTCACCCACTTTTTGTCAAATGGCCTCTTCCTTCCAGGGTCCTTCCCCCATACTCTGTCCCTCGCTGCCCTCCTGGGTGGCACACCTGCTAGGCAGGACTCTCACAACAAGTTCTTTTGCCTGCTGGCACCTGTTACCTCCCTAATCTCTCTTGGACAACATAATGCACAAATATCCACACTTATCGGTATTTGAAGGCCCAGGCTTTCCTGCAGCGTGTCCAGTGGGTATCAGCATCAAGTTCAAGTGGGAAACTGAAGGTTAAGCCTTAGTTGTCACTGACACTGAGTGGCTGGTGCTGGTTCTGACTCCTGTGAGTTTTGAGTGTTGGCACATCAGGGAATGGAGAAGAAGGGAAAGAGAAAGCCATGGTGATGAAAACCAGGAAGGAACAACTCTTCTGCTGAGTGTCTCCACAGAGAAGTTGTGGACACAGCCTCCTCTTAAATTTGGAAAAGGTGGGCTGCCCAGAGAAGTCCCCAACGAAAAGGAGCAAGGTCTCCATTGTCCCCTCTGAAACCCAATGACTTTGGGGTCCAGGTTTTCCAAGACATGCAATAAACAAAGACACACTGCAAACCAATTAACCCTCTGAGCCCTTCCAGTACTTTCACTGAAGTGACTTCCAGTGAACTACCTGAATACACAGAACACGGACCCTCCTCTTGGGGCCAATAAAGGGACTCAGCTTCCCAGCGGCTTAGAACACCACATCAGAGAAATGGCATGGGGGAGGCATATCCTTCTCTTGGCCTGGGAACTCTCATTCTCTCTTTGTGTTTGGGTATCCAAAACCATCCCTCCCACCCCTTGAGAAAACAGGGAAGAGAGACTGGGGGTAGGCTTGAAACCAAAGTTGATTCAGGCCCTAGAGATTGTCCTCCGTTGACGTCACCCCAAGTGTAGGAGATAGCTCAGGGCTGGGGACAAACAGAAGACTGTGTGGAAGGCAGCCACAATGGACCTGGGCAGCCCTACAGACTCAAGTCTTCTCTTTTCCTAGCTTATGGGGGAAAGGGGACTTCAGCTGCTTTTAGCTTATTTAATGCTCATTAATTCAGTACACACTAGAATTTAGCTGCTCTCTGTCCCTTCAAGATAGGACCCAGGAAAAGCAGGTGTGGCCTGACTTGCCTCAATCAGGCCTCCTAATTGAAGCAATGAGACAAGCACACTATAATTCACAGTTTCCACTCTCCTCCCTCGACCCACACCTTCCCCCACCACTGGCCTCAATTAACTCCCAAATCTCCAATGTGTAATGGTTCTTGCCAGCGTGGCTCAAAGGGCTAATAAACCAGGACTTCTCAGACAGTTAGGACACAAGCTCATTCACCAACAGGAACCCGAGAATGGCCACACAACAACCTAGTGTTTCTTATAGCGATTCTTTGGGGTTTCACCACACCCTGTTTTGTCACAGTTGAGAGCACCTGGATTCTTCCCCAGCCCCAGGCTTCCCAGGAGGCCAGGGAGCTCATGGGTGATGGCCCGCTCAATCTTCTCCAGAAAGCAGCCCCCCATGTAGGAGCACTGCTGGGACAGGAGCTTAAAACTGGAAATGGGGTTGATCCCAAAGAAGTCCTTGTAAGCCTCGCGGTTGGGAAGGTCAAATTTGCTGACATTGGTCTTTGCCAGGATGGTCTTGAAGATATAGAATTTATCAGGATCTTCCACAATGTCCTTAAAGACCAGCTCTCCGTCACTGAAGAAGGTCATTTTGTCCTTGTACGTCTGCAGATAGCGGTCGACCAAGAGGGCATGGATGCGAACCCGGATGGCATGCTGTCGGATGAAGGCAATCTTGTTCTCCAACCTGTTCTCGATCACCTGGTTCAGGTCTTCCAGGAGAGAGATCTCTTCCTTGAGAAACAGGTCCCGATGAGTATCGGGTTTGTAGTCTTGTGGCCAGAAGGAGCTAACATAGACCCTTGGGGGCTCAGTGACATTGATGAGCGGGGCCAAGCTCCAGAAGAGAGCCCCATAGACCCGCATAAGCATCTGTGTGGCCAGGTTGTCAGCCTTGTTCAGGATGATCCTTATCTGGGATTCACGCCCCTTCAGCTGGCGGAACAGCATCTCCAGCTCCAGACCCACGTCCAGCTTGGTTGGATCAAAGACGACAAAGATGAGGTCAGCTCTGTCAATGAACCACTGGCACACATCGTTGAAGGGGTAGCCTTTGGAAGAGGGAGTGAGAAGTCAGGCTGAGCAAGCATTAGCATAAGCCCCTCGCACCTCTCGCCAGAACGAACCATTCCACAATGGAACCTCGGTTCTCGAACTTAATTCGTTCCAGAAGGCTGCTCAAGAAGTGATTTGTTCAAAAACTAAATCACTTTTTCCCATTAGAAATAATATGGCCCGGCCAATGTGGCTCAGTGGTTGAGCACTGACCCATGCACCAAGAGGTCACTGGTTCGATTCCCAGTCAGGGCACATGCCCAGGTTGCGGGCTTGATCCCCAGTAGGTTCTCTCTCACATTGATGTTTCTATCTCTTTCTCCTTCTCCCTTCCTCTCTCTCTAAAAATCAATACAAATATATATTTATTTTAAATAATAATGTAAATTGAATTCATTTGTTTCAGACCCCGAAATGATTCCATTTTAACCTTTCTTATATACAGTACATGTCTAATGTACTGTTTAATCTATAAACAAACACTTATTTTCTTTTTTTATCCTCACCCGAGGACATTTTTCCATTTTTTGTTCAGATAGAGTGAGAGGGAGAGAGAAGAAGAGAGAGAGAAACATCAATGTGAAAGGGACACATCGAGTGTCTGCCACCCGCACGACCAACCAGGGCCGGGGACAAACTGCAACTGAGGTACGTGCCCTTAGCAGGAACCGAACCCGGGTCTCTCTGGACCGTAGGCTGACGCTCTAACCGCTAAACAAAACTGGCCAGGGCAACACTTATTTTCTTAAATTTATCAAACTACCCCTTACTGGCCTTAAACAAATCACTTTCAGCTCTCTTTCCAGGGGTGTCTTTCAGGAGGTCGGTCTGTAGTAGCTTCACTTTTTCTCATACCATTGCCTCCAAAATGCCGTCACTGGCTAACTGCTCTTCATTTATCGAAATCAACAAGTTTTTTTACCTCTTTAATTGCCTGTGATCATTGTTTCTTTCACATCTTTGGCAACATTAACACTCTTGATGGCCTCTTTATGTTTTAAAATTGTGCTAATTGTCCATTTCTCCAGCAACAAAAGCAATATATAGATTTCCTGAGATGTTAACAAGATGAGGTGTAGCTGTAAACTGACTCATACTGGGGCATTCTCTCCTTAGTTTGACCTGAGAGATGCTTTTTGTCTGCTCACGTATCAGCATGAAAGGGTTGTCAGGTTGACAAGCGAAGTTTTGTTCCACAATCGAGACATTTTTCCGTGAACAACTTGGTCGAGAACCAAATTGTTTTAGATGGGAAACGTTCACGAACCGAAGTTTGAGTGTAACGAACAGTGTTAAGGATTTTCTGACCTTCTGAAGACTTAAAGAATTAGTTGCATATCTCCTGCCTGTTGTCAACCTTCAACCAAAAAGACCCTGATCCTTGCTTTAATCTAAGTGGAATCCAAGGCTCCAGGGAAGCAAAATGCTTTTTGTGAGGTGGAGATTTTCCTACTGTCTAAAAAGATCTGGGGCACATGGAGGGACCTGGAAAGTACTATCCTAAGTGAAACAAGCCAAGCAGAAAAAGACAAATACCACATGATCTCACTTATTTGTGAAATATAATGAACATAACAGTCTAAGGAATAGGGTAGACCCAGAGACATAGAAGTAGGGTACAGACTGACAACCCTCAGAAGAGGGGGTGTGGGGGAGGGAAAAGAAAAACCATAGAACTTATACGCATGTACGCATAACCGATGGACATGGACAACAAAACCCGGACGGGAGGGGGGTCTCAATGGGGTAAAAAAGGAGAAACATCTGTAACAAAAATAAAATAAAATAAAATAAAAAGATCTGGGGCAGTGGCGAAGGAAAGAAGTCAGGGAATTAGAAAGATGTGAAAGAGCCCTGGCTGGTTTGGCTTAGTGGTTAAAGCATTGGCCCGCAGACTAGAGAGTCCTGAGTTCCGTTCCTGCTAAGGGCACATACCTCACTTGCAGTTTGTCCCCGGCCCCGGTTGGGGTCATGTGGGTGGCAATCACATCAATGTTTCTCTCTCTCCCCCCCCCCCCACTCTATCTGAAGATAAATGAAAAAAAAAAAAAATGTCCTAGGGTGGGGATAAAAAAAAAAGAAAGATGTGAAAGAGAGGATCCATTAGTACTAGACTTATTGGGGTGATCATTTTGTAAGCTTTATGAGTGTCTAATCACTATGTTGTATACCTGAAACTAGTATAATATTGTGTATCAACTGTCATTGAAATGAGAAGATCCATCATTTAGGGGAAAGAAATGCAAATGTAGCATACGACCTGGGCTAGAATCAGAGTTTTGTCACTGGCCAGCTGAATATTAAATGATTCTAAGTTTTAGCATTTTGGCTACAAAATGACAAGAACTATGAAACCTAAGTTGATATAAAGAGTACTGTGTTGCTACAAATATAGGAAAGCACCTAACTAAAACTGCCAGTCACATGGCAGGTGCTCAATATATTTTTATTCCTTCAATTTCTTATTTTCAAAATGAGGAGACTAGCCCTAGCCGGTTTGGCTCAGCGGTTGGAGCATCGGCCTGCGGACCAGAAAGTCCCGGGTTCGGTTCCAGCTAGGGGCATATACCAAAAAAAAAAAAAAAAATGAGGAGACTAGAAATACCCGTCTTGGGAATTTTTTCAACGATCAACCAAGAATGCATAAAATTATCTGATATATACAAGGACTATAATAAAGGTCAATTTACTATTATAATGATTAGTGATAATATTATTACTAATTATGAAACAGGGTCTGATTATAACTAAAATGGGAGTGATAGCCATAAACTGAGGTCTATTATCTGGTCATATACCCTACAAATGCCCTGTAATGACTCATCTCTGCAGATAACCCTGAGTCATGGCGATACTCAGCGGCCTATGTACAGACCAGTGTCTGCCGGGCCCAAAGTGGCTCTCCTCTGTCACCTAAGGCAAGCAGGGCTTTTGATACAGGCTTATGGTGAAGTAGGCCTGGTAAAGCAGGAAGAATTAACGGTCAGGTTCAACCCAGCCCCAGGTCAGCCAGAGGTCAAGTACACCTGGACTGAGATCCAATTAACCCAGGCCCTTGATCAGCCAGGACAGCCTGGGCCTCCTAAAGACTGCTCAGCCCCAGTGTGGACCTTGAGGAGCTCCTTACAGAGAAGATCAGCTTCCTCTTGGGAAAATAATGATCACCTCCAAACCAGATCGGTCCTTGGGGAGGTAAAAGGACAAGGTACCCAACACCTAAGTGGCACCCCAGTGACAACAAGAAGGGGCTGGAAGCAGAGAACACGTCCTCTGGTATTGGACAATGCTGGCCACATTTCCTCTTCCCTGCCTGCCTACCACCCACTGTCGAAAAGAGTTTTCTTTTTTTTTTTTTTTTATCCTCACCCGAGGACATTTTTCCATTTTTTTTTGTTCAGACAGAGCGGGAGGGAGAGAGAGGAAGAGAGAGAGAGAGAGACATCGATGTGACAGGGACACATCGAGTGGCTGCCACCCTCACGACCAACCAGGGCCGGGGACAAACTGCAACCGAGGTACATGCCCTTAGCGGGAACCGAACCCGGGTCTCTCTGTACCGCAGGTGGACGCTCCAACCGCTGAGCCAAACTGGCCAGGGCTCGAAAAGAGTTTTCTAAGACAAAGCTCACCCTGCGTCAGAAATGAGTGCCAAATTACCTCTTTCTTGCTGCTTTCGGTTCTCAATGATGCCTGGTGTATCCACAAAAGTGACCCGCTCTAGAAGTTTGTGGGGAACCTCAATGCCAATCAGCTTTTCCAGGAAATTCTGGCCAAACTTCTCGAGGGGTGAGAAGGACCGGGTACTGTCAGCAGCCATGACAATACCCTCGATGGTTTTGAGCTTGGGCCCGTGCATGAGGACCGTGAACTCAGAGGTGGTGGGCTCAGCGCCTGCACAGATAAGCACAAGGTTAGTAGGAACAGTCATCTCTGGGGAAGAGACCTATTGCAAAGTAGGTGGGTGACCAAGGCATTTCAGGGAGGGTTTGCCACAAGAATTTGATACTATGTTTGCAAAACTAGTGACTTTTTTTTTAAATCCTCACCCAAGGATATTTTTCCATTGATTTTCAGATAGAGAGGAAGGGAGGGAGGGGGAAAGAGAGAGAGATAAATATCAATGTGAGAGAGACATATAGATTGGTTGCCTCCCATGTGATTCCGACCAGGGCTGGGGATTGAACTGCAACCGAGATACATGCCAGATGAAACCCGCAACTCTTTGGTCCATGGGCCAACACTCTAACCACTGAGCCAAACCGGCCAGGGTGTGATTTCTTTTTTTTTTTCATCCTCACCCGAGGACATTTTTCCATTTTTTGTTCAGGTAGAGTGGGAGGGAGAGAGAGGAACAGAGAGAGAGAGAGAGAAACATCGATGTGAAAGGAACACATCGAGTGACTGCCACCCGCACAACCAACCAGGGCCAGGGGCAAACTGCAACCGAGGTATGCGCCCTTAGCGGGAACCGAACCCGGGTCTCTCTGGACCACAGGCCGAAGCTCTAACCGCTGAGCCAAACCGGCCAGGGCTGATTTCTTTTTTTTAAATTGTGATAATATATATAACATGAAATTTACCACTTTAACCATTTCACGTGTACAGTTCAGCAGCATTAAGTATATTCACCTTCACCTATGACCACCATGCATCTCCAGAACGTTTCATCACTCCAAACTGAACAGTATCCATTAAACACTAACTCTCCATTTTACCTTCCCCAGCACCTGGCAACAACCATCATTCTACTCTCTGTCTCTATGAATTTGATGACTCTAAAGACCTCATATAAGTGGAATCATGTGACAAATCGGTTAATTTTGTCCTGTCCGGTACCAAAGGGCCACGGGTTTGATTCCTGGTCAGGGCATATATCCAGGTTTTGAGTTTAATCCCAGGTCAGGGCTCCTACAGGAGGCAACCAATCCATGTTTCTCTCTCACATTGATGTTTCTCTCTCACGCACGCTCTCCCTTCTCTCTCTAAAATCAATAAAAATATATTAATAAAAATGGTTTATTTCAGTTAGCGTAAAATCCCCTAAGTTCATCCATGTTGTAGTATATATCAGAACTTTATTAGAGCCCTGGCCGGTTTTGCTCAGTGGTTAGAGTGTCGGTCCATGGACCAGAGAGTCCTGGGTTTGGTTCCCGCTAAGGGTTCGTACGTGGGTTACAGTTTGTCCCTGGCCCCAACTGGGGTCGTGTGGGTGGCAACCAGTTGATGTGTCTCTCTCACGTTGATGTTTCTCTCTCTCTCCCTCCTGCTCTATCTGAAGATACATGCAAAAATGTCCTCAGGTGAGGATAAAAATAAAAAATAAGTAAAAGAACTTTATTACTTATGAAGGTTGAATAATATTTGGCGATATGGATGGACCACATTTTCTTTATGCATTCATATATCGATGGATATTTGGGTTGTGTCCACCTCTTGTGTATTATGAATAATGCTGTTACCAACATGAGTGTAGCTGCTGGTGACTTATATGTGCTTTTCCGTATTATATTGAAGACACATATAAATGTTTTAATTTTTTATAGCGATTCTACATATGACATTGAAATACCAAGAGTCACACAAGAAAATCTCACTCTTACCTGTATAAAGCTGGTAACGAGTATCTTCTAACCCAAGGAGGTAGTTTATCATGGTGGATTTGCCAACGCTCCACGGTCCCAGGAACAGCACCATTGGCTTGGAAGTGATTTCCCCATCTGTAAGCAGCAGGAGTGAGGTGGACGTGAGCTAACAAGTTTCTCACTACAGGAGCAACACAGCCCTTCACACTGACTCCCAGACAGTCCCTCTAATTAGGTTGTGGAATTCTATGTTGGACCAGACAGCATGTAGCAATCAGTGGCACATCTCGTGCTACGTAAGTACAATCACCCAGTTAAAAAACACCAGAAGACACCATTTGGACCTTGCCAGATGCTTGGCACACTAGCACCAGAAAGAGGCACTAAGTCAAGTCAACAGACACTGACACAGAGCTTACTCTGAATGAGGCCTCCCAGTTCAGATCTGGGAGAGAAGGGTTCATAAAAGGAGAGCAGAGAGCTGCCACATGGGGAGCGGTGAAAACTCTGTCTGGATTGGTAACAGAAGAAAGGGTATGAGAGAGGCTTGTACAATCTTAGGCAGCCTGTACTCTGATGTTACCTGTCCCCAGCCTCCCTCCCCTTAGCTGTGCCTCTTGAAATCCCATCTCAGGCTCAGCCCAACCCTGGGCTCTGGGGCCAGTCTCAAATATTATCCAAAGTCCATGACATATTTGCCAGGTCCCAAGACCAAGCACTGACTAGGCAATTTTGGGGTTCATGGGCCCTGTGTCTGATATTGGAGAGAACACTCTGCATGGACCACTTCACTTGGTATCCCTAGAAGAAAAAGAATTCTCCAGTGCTTTCAGAACCAGGGGGCGGCAGGGGGAGGAAGAGAGGCTTTTGACATGGGACGCAGCCACCCTTATGCTGGTTTTCAGGCCCCAGCTCTTTCAACCCTTGTCTGAACCACATAGGGTCAGCTCTGCATAATTTAGTGCCTAAAATTCTCTGGACTTCTTTGTCTCCCTGAACCTGGCAGATAGATAGGCCTCAAAAGAGCAGGAATTCCATTTATTTTTTCTGTTTTAATTTATTTAATTTCTTGGTTCAAAAATCAAAATGTAAAAGCCCAGCTGGAGTAGCTCAGTTCATTGAGCATCGTCCTGTTCACCGAAAGGTTGCCAGTTTGATTCCAATCAGGGCACATACCTGGGTTGCTATCTGATCCCTGTCAGGGCACATGTGGAAGGCAACTGATTGATGTTTCTCTCTCACGCTGATGTTTCTCTCTCTCTCCTTTACTCTCTCTAAGCATGTCCTTGGGTGAGGATTTTTTGTTTTAAAATCAAACTATAAAAAGGTACACAAGCCCTGGCCGGTTTGGCTCAGCGGTTGGAGCATCGACCTGTGGACCAGAGAGTCCCGGGTTTGGTTCCCGCTGGGGCACGTACCAAAAAAAAAAAAAAAAGTTACACAAGTGAGAGGTCTCACATCCCTGTCCCCAATCTGCCTAGACCATAACACCCCCTACATATTCTTTCAGATCTTTCCATGCATATATAAGCAACACTAGCAGAGAACGTATTCCCCATCTTTTTTTTTTAATCCTCACCCGAGGACATTTTTCTATTTATCTTCAGGTAGAGAGACAGGGAGAGAGAGAAACATTGACATAAGAGGGACACATCGACTGGTCGCCTCCCTCATGACCCCGACTAGGGCCGGGGAGGAACTGCAACCGAGGTACATGCCCTTGGCTGGAATCGAACCCATGACTCATTGGTCTGCCTGCCAGTGCTCCACCGCGGAGCCAAACTGACCAGGCCCCCCCCATCTTTTTTTTTTATAGAAAAAAGAGTATGATATTCTTTTTCTCCACCTTGCTTCTTTTTTTTTTTTAAATCCTCACCCAAGGATATATTTCCATTGATTTTTAGAGAGAGAGAGGGAGAAAACATCGATGTGAGAGAGAAACATCAATCAGTCACTTCCCATACACGCCCCTACTGGGGATCGAACCCATGACCGAGGCATGTGCCCTAACCAGAATCAAACCCACAACCTTTTGGTGCATGGGACGATGCTCCAACCAACTGAGCCACTCAGCTAGGGCTGCACCTTGCTTCTTGATGCACCAGTTTTTTTTCTCTAAGGTGAAACCAAGTCCTAGAAGACCAAGATGGTATCTAGTAAGTGGCAGGCGCATGTATATTGCCTGAAAACAACACCGTGGCCCTGCCCAATTAGTCACTGGCATCTCTGTGGGTATCAACCCCTGGCTCAGGGACAGGAAGAGAAAGGCTGAGAGGGTGGCAGGAATCCCCAGTGACACTGAGATCCTACAAAAAGTCTATTTTACCCTGGCGCAGGCTGGGGACAACAAGGGGAACTGGAGCTTCAGCTGGCAGCTGAGACCAATCATTACCAGGCCTTTCCCCGGCTGCTCTCTCAGCCCTCCGCAGCAGGGGGCGTTACTGACACAGGCAGGAGGCCACAGGTGAGACACTGGAGCGGAGGTTATGCATGAGACTGCCCAAGGGCACAGCCGAGCCCCAGCACTGGTGGGAGAGGAGGAGAGAGAGACCAAGTCTGGAAAGTGAGCTCAGGAGTCAGGATGCCCTCCCTGCAGAGTGCTATTCCTGGGGCTGCCCAGGGCCTCGAGGCCAATCTGCTAGCTCAGGGGAAGGCAAGAGTGGAGGGCAGGAAAGCAAATGGGAGACTGGGACCTCACACCAACACCTGCTCTTTGCTCTTAGGCTTGCAAGAAACAATAGAGATAATTGTGAAACAGGGCCTTCTCTCGGAGAAGGAGAGTTATAGCCCTAGTTCCAGCTGTGTGATCCTGGGTAGCCCAGCATTTCTCTGGATGTCCAGTCCCTCTTCCGGAAAGCAGGAATAAGGTAGGGTATACCCTGTCATATCCTATCCACTTCGTAACCATCAAGAGCATCCCATGAGATAATACAGAAGTAGCCAATTAACACAGAAAGATGTGTAATACCACTCACCATTCAAACAACAAGTTTTCAAAGATGAATAATACTTAAAAACCTATCACTGCGTGGAAACAAAAGCTCTCATATCCTGTCATTGTGGGTACAAATTGGTACAACCTAAAACAATTTGGGAACAACTATCAAAATGTTTCATTTCCAGTGTTCCACTTCTACAAGTTTATTGTACACATATACTTGCATGAAATATGTAACAATTATAATAGTGCTTTAATATTTTTAAAAAGTGGATAATGGCAAAGACCCCAGTTCTCATCAGTAGGTGGAGGTTTTCAGTGCATCCATGCAAGGATCAGAAAGGGCAAGAGGAGCTACACACACAGTTTTGTGACATGATCCCAACTTTGTAAAGGAAACATGAAAAGACATGCGTGTAGATGCTCACGTATGCAGAGGGACTCTGTTCATGAGAAACGATAACAGTGGGAGTCGGGGAGTGGACTTAGAGAAGTGAGAAATCAAGAAAGGGGTTTTCATTTTACAATGTATACTATTTTACACTATTTGAATTTGGGGGGTTATTTTTGGCAAAAAGTATAGCATATTTTATTATTTTGAAAATTAGTTTTTAAAAGACTCCGGACAAGTCTGGCCGGTGTGGCTCAGTGGTTGAGCGTCAGCCCACGCACCAACAGGTCGCCGGTTTGATTCCGGGTCAGAGCACATGCCCAGGTTGTGGGCCTGATGTCCAATGGGGGGCATGCAGGAGGCGGCCAATCAATGTTCTCTCTCATCGATGTTTCTATCTCTCTCTCCCTCTCTGTTCCTCTCTCGCTCTAAAAATCAATAAAGAAATAAAATAAAATAGCCCTGGCTGGTTTTACTCAGTGGTTAGAGCATTGGCCTATGGTCCAGAGAAATAAAATAAAATAAAATAAAATACTCTCGACCCGAGGGAAGCCGACCAGCTGACCAGTGGAGTAAACAAGAAGAGGGAAGGATTCCAGGCCAATCAGGGGACTTAAGACATGATCAGTAAATGAATAGGAAGCTTGGTGGGCCCGTGAGCACGCAAGGGGTAGAAGCTGGCATCACTGCCCTTGGAAACCAAAACTGTACTGTGCTTACAAGTGAAATGCTCTCCAGAAAACCCTGTGCAAACGATGGGGTACTCTTGCAGTGAAAGGATGGTTTCTGTGACTGAGGTCTCCAAGAACTTAGGAGAGCTCAGCTGCAGGGTCCTCAAGCCCACCACACACAGAGCTCAGGAACCTCCTGCGCATGGGGGAGTGTGGACGGGTTGGAGGTACCAGCCCGACCCTGGGACGCGAGCCAGCCATACCTGTGATCTCGTGCTGCCGAAGCTCATTGTATTTGTAAGACTGCTCCAGGGGTTTGATGGACGAATGGTAGATCTTTCGAAGCCGCTGCAGTACCGCTGGGGACAGAGAGGATGGGGGTGGGGGCATCAGGCAGGGTGCACTCCAGACTGCTGACTGCTGTGGACCAGGTCACTTCCCAGGGCAGCTCCAGCCCTGCCTAGTGGGGAGCCGAGAACATCTGCAGCCCAGCAACTGTCCTTATGTTAGCGTTCGAGGGAGCTGGTCCACATCCCAACCCTCAGAAATCTTTAAACCCAAGGTATTCCCTCCCCATCCGCTAAAGCCTCCTGGGCTATTTCTTTTTAATCTAACCACCTCCTCCCTCCCTCTTCTAGTGTACCCTGAAGCACCACCTCAGCCTTCTGAAAGCCCTTTCCATGGCAGGGAAGAACCCCATCTCCTTCTCTCTGCCCCCACCGCTACTTGTGTTTGCCTTAGGCTCAGAGGACAAGGAGGTGTGGGCTAAGCAGGCCTGCAGAATGGCCACCTTGGCCTCTAGCCACACTCCCTGGGGCCCCAGGAGGATGCAGACATCCCAAGTATCTTCTTGGGGAAAGCATGACTCCAGGGAGAAGTGACTCGCAGAGGGGAGGCTGGGAGCAGGGTGTGAGGCCCAAAGTGGGGGAGAGGGCCTGAGGCTCAGAGCCCACACCCTGCACGGCCCCTCTCTAGCTGTGCGCCAGAGCAAAGTTCGGCCTTGCCGTGAGCTTCTCTAACTCAGCTACGAGGAGACAGTAAACTCCACTGAAAGCCTTGGATTATGAGGGTAAAATGAAATATTGGGCATGCAAAAGCTTTATAAACTGTAAAAAATCAAAGCAAATGTGATTAACTTAATCAACGCTCCTCCCCAGCTACTGGGTGGAAGCTGGCAGCATCCCCAGACACAGCCCTGGGATTTGTCCTCCACCCTTCCACTGGCCCCTCTGCCTGGATTGCCTGACCTCCTCGCTGCCAATCCAGAGGCCTGGGGCCGTGGACAGCGCTTGCAGAGCCTCCTCCAAGAAGGCCCCTACCTCCAGGCTTTCCTCCCTGAGGTGTTCACTGGCCTCAGAGCCCCAGCCCCCTCCCAGCCTCAGCCCCAGGCCCGGCTCCTTCTTCCTCTGGTTACCAGAGTAATCATCAGCTGGCTTGTCCTCGTTCAGCATCAGAGTTTTCTCGATGTGGGAGCGGTCCCTGAGTGGGGCTTCTTCGCTCACATCCTCCGCCTCTTCTGGGGAGGGAAGCAGAGAGCAGGGTTAGAGCAAAGCGAAGAGTCAGCTGGACTCTAAGGCCCTAGACATGGAAAAGGGCGGAGCCTTGAGGAAGTGCTGACAGAGGGTTTGCCAAATACAACTCTAGGAGGGACTTTGAAAATCCCAATTCAACTTCTCTGAAGCTCCACAATCCATTTTATGTAGTCAACAAATATTGACTGAGCACTTGTGATGTGCCAAGCACCGAGCGTCGTGCTGGGGATACAAAGTGTCCAAACAGACACAGCTCCTGACTTTGTGGCATATTCCTACAGTCTAGTGGAGCAGGAGGGGAGGTCCTCAACAGTAATGTAATAATTATAAACGGTAATGTGGCCATGGAAGGGAAGATTCCAGAAGCTATGAGGACCTAAGAAGTGTGCCTAGGAAGTCTTAGCAGGGGGTCAGGTCCTGGCCGGTTTGGCTCAGTGGTTGGAGCGGCGGCTTGCGAACCAGAGAGTCCCAGGTTCGGTTCCCGCTAGGGGCACGTACCAAAAAAAGAAAAAAGAAAGAAAACAGAAAACTTCCCAGAGTGGCCACCTATGAGCTGAGATCCGTTGTGTGAAGAATTAACTAGGTGAGGATAGGGACAGGAGACAGAAGTGGATTAGCAGGAAGGATGGCTGGGCCTCAGTGAGTGAGGGGTGTGTACTGTGGGGCAGGAGCTAACCATACAAGGTCTTAGAGGACCATAGGAGTCTGCATTTCGTCCCAGGGGTACTGGTAGCCAGGGAGGGGTTCTAAGCGAACTGACCTGACCAAATGAGCATGTGATCAGATTTACAAGGCTGCCATGAAGCATGCATAAGAGGAGCCACTGGGTGAAGAAGGGTTCAACTGTTGCTTCTGACCAAGGAGGAGATGCCCATGACTGCCTGCAGGTCCCCAGGGAGATCATTTCTACCCAACAGGCTACACAAAGGATTTTTAAGTAATCAAAAGTAGGATGGCCTTAGGCCTGTGGGGCAGAGGGAGACTGTTTCCACCAGGGATGGAAGCAGAGAAGAATCCATGTGTCTTGTGGAGCATCTCGGGACTCAGGCAGTCCACCCCAGACCCAGGACAGGGACGACAGGGAGAGGGAAGGTACTGGCTGACTGCCAGGGCCCTAGAGGGTACAAGTAGCTGATGAGAGGTATGGAAACTGGGTTCTGCAGGGAAACCATGGGAAGTCACATTGGAGGGTACAGATTGGCCCCAGCTCCTCCATCCTAAAGACTAGCTCTTGGTCCAGGCCAGCACCCTCAGTGGATGTGGCCATGGGCATCCTGGCCATGCCTAGGGTTCCATACATCCCAACGTCACCCAATGGCTTTGGCCCTGCCCTCCTCCTTGCCCATCCCCCAGGCCTGAGACAGCAGCTGCTGCTGCCCCAGGTGGACATCTGCAGGACATCAGTGTCACAGCCAGCCTAAGATTTCTTATTCCAATCCTGACCCCAGGCCCAGTTCACCCCATCTAACATGGCCTAGCCTTCAAGGGGAGGCCCCATGTGTTAGTCCACTGATGTGGTCCTCGGGGGGTGGGGCTCCCGACCTATACCCACTACCCATACATCTCCCCACCAGCCTGCACAGGGCCTCAGACCCTTTCACTATGCCCCTTGTCCTCCAGGCTAAGGCACTCATTGGTGTTAAACTATATCAGGGATCCTAAAGAGCAGACACCTGAGGACCTAACTCAGAAGTGACCAGGTTCCTCTGGGCCCTCCATGGCAGGGCTCCTCACTGAGTTCCTCCAAACTGGGAAGAAGTGGTTCATGAGCAGCCCGAAGACACCCCCTGGGCCGGGTACCCTGGACCGGGCCTCTACCCCGAAAACCCGGGCTGGCTGGGGCTCTCCCGACCCACCCTGTCCCTGCCTGTCCCACTACATACAAGACTTCCAGGAAGAACGCAGCTGCCCGAGTGCCGGAGCAATCTGTGGTCCCCTACCCTGAGGCCCCTCCACGGGCTCCTCTGCCTCGGCCTCCGGGACCTCGTCCCCCTCGGGCCCTGGATTCGGTTCCTCCGAGCTCAGCTGAGCCCCCTCGTCCCCATGGCTTGGGTTTCCTGCTGCTTCCTGGGGTTCCCCCACTTCCTCGGAGGAGCCCCCTGCTTCCTCTGAACTAGCCCCATGGCCGCTGTCCTCTTCTGATTCTTCTTGGGGTGGAACGCCTCCTTCCTCGCCTCTGCTGAGGTCACCACCCTCTTCCTCAGAGGACGCAGCTTCCAGATCCTCCTTCAACATCCCTGGTGCCTGGCCCTCCAGGGGGCGGTCCTCCTGGGCGCCCCCTGTCTCTACAGCTGGGCTGGGCTCGCCCTGGTCCTCAGGCCCCTCCCTGGCTTTTGTGTTCACGTCCATGACTCCGTCTGGCCCGTCTGGCCCCTGATCAGATCCTGGGATGCCCTCGCCTGCTGTCTCTACCACCACAGGAAAGGCCCCTGTGCCTTCAGGCTCTGCAGTGCCCGCAGCTGCTCCCTGCGTAGGGTTGTCCCCTAGGACCTCCTTGGCTTCCTCAGTGACCACGCCATTCCCAGCCTGTCCTTCTGCCTCCTCTGCTGGGCCCTCTCTCACACTGAGCTCTGGCCTCCCCTCTTTCCCCGTTCCCTCCTCCCCTTCTGGAGGGAGGGTGCTTGCTCCTGGTTGCTCCACAGGGTCCCCGGGGGGAGCTGAGGCTGAGGTATTGGAAAGGCTGGCTTCAGGGTCAGAGCCTGGGCTGGGGGCAGCGGTGGAGGCCCCTGCAGTAGTCTTCTCCGAGCTCTCAGCCTCCCTGCCATCTGGGGAGTGAAGGAGCAGGTTCTTCTCTCGAGGGGCCGCCTCTGCATAAAGCGCCCTTTCCTTCTCCTCTAGACTTGCATCTCCAGCAGAGAAATGATTCTCCAACAAATTGCCAACATCTTCTGTGCCACCCGAAGCAGAAACTTGCAGTTCTAAATGATTAGAACACGATTGGTCAGTTTCACAGGGTTGGCACTCGCTTTGCTTCTCAAAAGAGTCTAACTCGACCTAGCTCCTGTCTTCCGGAGCGAGGTGCGGGCCTGGCACAGTGGCACCTCCCGCCCTGGCCTTGGTAACTGCAGTGCAGCCAGCAGGGCGGGTGTTACTCTGCCCCACTCCCAAGACATAGAGGCCCTGGCTGGGGGAGTTACAGGCCCACCGTCTGTCACTGCAGTATCCAGCAGCTGGCACCCCCCCCCCCCAGTTCCTCCCCTGACCCTGACTGAGCCTCCCGATGGGCCCTGATGACTGCGCAGGGATGGAAACTGGGTGAGCCCTTCCAGTCCTTCCTCAACCTTGCCGCAGGCACGCAGGCACGTGCAGCCTGGCTTACCAGGAGATCTTTCCAAGATAGGACGGATGCCCTGTCAGTTCCTAGAGTCATTAACCAGCGTGCTTTTTATACTGCTATCAGCAAAGGAGTGCAAACAGGTGTATGCAGGCCAGATAATCTTAGGTTACACGGCAGAGTACTTAGGGGATTACTTGTGGCTCTCAGCCTTATTAAGTCACACATCCAACTCTGTCCCCTTAAGGGCAGGCATTTGCTGGCCTTGCTACCTTAGATTAGAGGGGACATGGCCTGAGGAGAAAAAGATATCCAAAACTAGAAGGGCCAGGGCTTCCCAGTGGCCTTAGCCAACCTCTTCTGAGGGTATCCCCTTCTAAAGGCTGACGGCTTTACCGGCAAGCTGAGGGCACAGAGAGAACCAAGCAGGAGAGAACAAAATAGGGCCTAGTCTGTGTCGAGCCCTCTGTCAAGGGACAAGTTTAATTTTTTTTTTTATCCTTACCCCAGAACATTTTTGCATTCATCTTCAGATAGAGCAAGAGGGAGAGAGGGAAGAAGAGAGAAAGAGAAACATCGATGTGAGAGAGACACATCGACTGGCTGCCACCCACAAGACCCCAACTGGAGCCGGGGACAAACTGCAGTCGAGGTACGTGCCCTTAGCAGGAGCTGAACCTGGGTCTCTCTGGACTACGGGCCGATGCTCTAACCACTGAACAAAACCAGCCAGGGTGGGACAAGTTTAATTTATTTGGAAAATGGGGTCAGAAGTGAGGGTTGAACCTATCCCTTTTGCCCCCTCCCAACCAGACTGGGACCTGTTTAAGGAGGCCTGTGGTGGGGGACCAGCTGCTGACTCATGGGGATGAGGAACCACAGGGCCCTGCCCTGGGACAGCTGGCATAGCCCCAGGCTCCCTTGACTCACAAGGATTCTTTCTGAGGAAGCAGCCTCCCTCCTTTCTGCTGAGTACATACACCCCCTCTCTCGGGCCACAGCCTGGTCTTCCTATCTCTGCCTCGATAAAGAAAAGCCACTCTTGGGGTACCCCTTCTGCCTTGGGATACCCACACACCTTGTGCCCTGAAAGCTGGGGTAGCCTCCAGGAACAAGAAACAAATATTTTCTCATTAGTCCCACCGGTGCAACGTATCAGATTCAGAAGAGTGGGACGTTGAAGCACCTTTTATTATAAAAGAGCCCCGTATAGTGATATAACCCTTCCCCAAGCACTTTCACATATGTGACCGCATCCAAATCTCCCTCATTACTGCCAGCCACTTTTCAGAGATGAAGATCCAGAGAAAGTCTTTGACTTGCCCAAGACACCAAGTGTCTGGCACTAGGTGATGAAACCCAGAACTGCCCACTCCTTGCCCAGGCCTTCCCTGCCACGGGGTATGTAGGGAAGACGGGATACCCCTTCCCATGGGTATCTCGCCCCTCTCTGCATGTACCTTCTCTCCAGGCTCACACTCCAGACCCGTCCTGGCTCCTGATTACAGGAACAAAGGTCTAAATCCTCCCTGTGTTCCCAGGGCTGGGACTCTGCCTGACCCACAGAAAATGCTATGAAAAGGTACAATAAGGATTTGTAGTCCTTTAGCGAGAAAGCTGAAGGTTACTCATTAAAATTTTCTTTTATTACCACCTGAACACCTACCTATTCGTCCTGATTCCTTTACCTGCGGATTAAACCCACCACCACTCTCTGGAAAAAAATCTATGTCAGGAACTTGGTTTAACCCAAGGAGACTGCAAGTCCTCTGAGGAGCACGATATCAAATGAGATACATTTTGTACAACTATTCAGTGTGCGGGGCAATGCTTAAGCACTTTGTATATAAAACATTAATTTACTTGGTCTTACTCAACTTATTAGATTTTAGTTGCTTCCATGAAACAACTCTTACTCTTATCCCCATTTTCCAGACTAGAATCAGAGACACTGAATGCCTTGCCCGACATAACACAGCTAGCAACTGGCTGAGGCCGTTGTACTCCAGAGTTGCAGAGATTGCCTAACCCTGGAGGGGGTGCTACCCACCCGCTCAGAGGGTAGCCCTTGAAGCATCAGCACCAGCCAGGGACCCTGGTAGAGATGCTGACTCTCAGGCCCCAGCTCAAACCCACTAAACCAGAATGTGCATTTTAACCATCCATTTTCACATTGCAGTTTGAGAAGCTCTAGTCTATACCACCTGATAAAACTGCCTCTAAGCCAATGTTCTCAGCACTGAAATTCTCAGGTTCTTGGTCCCATTCCTCTCCCCATCCTCAAAGGTTCTGATTGAATTAGGGTATACCCCATCATCAGCACTTTAACAAAAAAATTCTTGGGTAATTCTAGTGCAGCCAAAGCTGCAAACCGCTGCTCAGCTGAATAATCCTGACCATGAAACTTCTGCCCCCACCCTCTCCCCACTCATTCTCACTGGGGGCTCCCAAGTTGGGTGGGTCACCTGGGGCTTGGCGTGTAACCAACAGCAGTAGTCAAGGCTTTTCCACTGGAGAATACAGCCCTTTCTACAGGTCCTTTTTGTCCCCTACCAGTGATGATGAAGACAATGATGTGGTAGGAGTAGTGATGATGATGGTGATGGTGATGGTGATGATGATGATGATGATGATGGTGATAATGATGATAATGGTGGTGGTGGTGGTGATGATGATGGTGGTGATGATGGTAAGGGTGATAGTGATGGTGATCGTGATGACATTGGGCAGAACAGACTGGGTCTAACCACCTGTGGCATTTCTAATATTCTCAAAACATCCTCTGATCCTGATGAGGGTGAGAGGGCTGCATAGTCGCAAGAGAGATGAGGATGCCATTTTGGGGGTTTACCATGACCTTCACATTATTGTATATTTCCATTCCTAGGCAAGAACAGAAGTCAAGTGTGTGCATGTATGAATATATATTTACATACTCTTCCCTGGTTTTTAGGACTTGGTGCCAAGCTGCCCCTGACCTTCTGCTAAGCAATTTGGAATGAAAAAGACCAAGGGTGATGGCTTTATGCCCAGTGACCTTCCTTCCTGGACTAAAAATAATTTCTCTGATACAAAGTCTCTCAATGAAACAAGCTGTGCCATTGGGCCCCAGAGCTTGATCCCCAGGAAGCAGCTGTGCCATTGGGTCCGATCTCTCCTCTGGGAGGCATAGTCAGAGGCTTCGAGAGTCTCTGAGTGAACTCAGTTCAATTCTGTTAAATCAAACACAGTATCTTCCCTCCCTCCCTCCCTGATCTCACGAGCATCACACTGAAGCCTCCCATTGGCTTCTGGAGGAGGTGGTGGGGGAGGGCACAGAAGACTCAGGACACCCTGGATGGGTTAAGAGCCTGATAAGAGGAGTCTTGGTCTACCCCAGGACATGTAGTACTGTACTGTATGTGCTGCTGCCAAGGCCACCACCCCAGCCCCACACAGGCCTGGATGCTTACATCAGGGTACATGCATAGCAAGCCCCCAGCTCAGCCCTGGAGACCACGGGAAGACCCGTGTGCCTGAAGCTGGTGCCCCAGACATAGCACAGCACACACCAGTTCTGCTTTCTCTCCCGACACCTCCTCTACCATCAGCCTTTCTTTGGGGGTCAACCTCAGCAGTAGCCACAGGCTCAGTTCCTTTCTCCTCTACTAACCAAACACCTGATTATTTTCTCAGCTTCTAACTCCTTCCAAAACACTTTTCACATTGACGTAGATAACTTTGGAGTTGCCAAAGGCCTTCATGGGTCCAAATGTGGCCAGGGAGCTTTAGAGACCTGCCCAAGGTCAGGGTTAGGGTTGAGACCGAGCCCAAATTCATGGCTCTCAGTCTAGAGTTCTTTCTGCTCCCAAGTAGTTTGCAAACCATGTCCCATGAATGGAGAGGTGCCCATGGAAATTACTAGGGGGTGAAGCACAATGAAGGGGCTGGTTCAGTCACCCACTCTGTACTGGCTGCCTCACCGCTTAAGGAAGGGGTAGGTGGTTGACAACCACTGCTCCTGTCTCCTCCACTTACTCCCTAAACATTCCTCTAGCTTCCTCTTTTTTTTTACAAAAAGTATAAAGGGTTTTTATTATTTGTAACATAGGTACAATTATTTAAAGTTAATACATTTTTATTTAAGGAATTTCACATGTTGAGTCCTTCCACACACTGCCTTAGTTTCTCCCGAGTTTGACTCTTAATCCCTTTTTTTTTTTTTTTTGCTCAATCCAGTTGTCATTGCAGTCAGTCTATACACCAGGAATAGAGATGATCATGTGATCACAAACTATCTGGTCACTAGCCACCTAGAAGGATTAGCTAGAAAGAGGACATTTGTGAGACTCCGGAGGGCTAAGGCAGCTATATAAAATCTCACTGATTACCAATGGCTACTACAAAATCACATATAGCTTGTATTATATTTATATTGGACAGTGCTAATCAAGACAATGAAAATAAGGGTTAAGAAAATCTAGCCTCCTCTTGATCATTTTCTGCAACATACCAAGGAGCACCCCTCTTATAGCATCTTTTCACTTTAATCACCACATGCCAGGCACTGCGCTAGATGATGTCTTGCCTTCACATAGAACTTTATACTTTCCAAAATTATTTCATGTTCTTCTTCTTTCATCTTCCTAGCAGTCTTCTGAGGCA